AGCAGCAATAGTTAAAAAGATAAAATGCCTTTAATTTAATAAAAAGTTAAACCAGTTGTTAGAAAAAGCACAAGAACTCTCTAATTTTGTAAATTAAGATTGTTCCCAATGAAGAAATAAAAGAATACTTTATGAGAGGTATATTGAAAAAGTTTGTGAAACATTTAATGAATTACATCAGACATTGTCCCAAGCAAAAATCACCAGCTATTCAAAAAAATAATAATAATAAGGGTATCATGTATGTACTTGATTAATTAGAGCAGTAATTGAGAAGCTTTTTAAATAATCTTTATTTCCTCCCTCAGAGCCAGACTTAGACTTGATAAGGCCCTAAGCTATTTGAGATATGGGCCCCTTTATAAGTCTGTTATAATATATTTTAATACTATACTATATTTTAATTTTTTTGGGGGGGGCACTAAGCTTGTGTAGCTTGTGCTTAAATCTGGCCCTGTCCCCTTTTAATTAAAATAATATTAGGCTTGTGTAAATTATACATACTTTTTTATAATCTAAACTATACCTAACATATTTTTTTAATCTAAACTATACCTAACTCTTTTTCATAGAAAGTTAACTTTGCAGAGTGCAATTTTGCTGTGTGCACTTGTTAATGATGTAACCCCCACTTTTCGCAAAGTTTTACTGTGTCTGTATTTAATTTTTCACAACATAAGCATGTTCTGAATTACCATATTTTTCAATAATAAGATGTTCATTTTTCCCATGTAAATCACAGTAAGTATGTATATTGCATTTTTGGAATAATATATCAGTAAGCTTTATCCTAAAACTTATTTATTTCATGTGAGGGCACTTTTAAATGTATTTATATAGATGGTTAAAGAAAGGATGTTTTGTAATTGAATAAATGTGCTAAAATATTAATTTTTCAGATGATCTATATATTATGCACCATTATTGCCAAAGTGTTTGATGTTCTTAAGTTTTTATAACGAAAAATATCATTAAGAATTTCCGAAACAACTGAATTACATTTCAGAATTTCTTACTTGCATTTTTATTTTTATATTTTCACAAAGTTTAATGCATTCACCACTAAAAAAATTATTTTATTGGGATTTTTAAAAATGTTTTATAATATAATTTAAATTTCATATTATCTTTATTTATAATTAATTTATGTCCATATCATGATCAATTAAAAAAAAAAGATTATTTGCCATTTATATTTTTTCTAATATTCAGTTTTAAAATGCAAGTCTTAATGGGCGTGATATAAGGAGCCATGTCCTACTATGAAATATTATAGTTTGCAAGCAGGGTCACATACATGTCACTCCACTGCATAAAACAAACTGAATTTGATAGTTTCTAATACTATCTTTTTTCATTGTTTGAGACATCCTTCAAAACTGTATTCTTTATGCAGTTTATGTTCTATTTCACTGAGTAATTAAATTTTAGATATGTATTTAAAAAATATTCAGCTGGAAACAGTTTACCTTAATAGACAAAATAAGAAATCTTAACCTGCTATATTTAGGGCTATTTTTCTTTACCAAATAAAATAATGTGTGGAGACACATTTAATAATATTAAAAATTGATTATAGTATTTACAAATAAAAATCTAAATACTAGAACTCTTGGTACGAGCAGAAAAGTTAAAGAAAGAAAGAAATTGTACTTGTTTTCATGTATAAATATACATTGAAAATGTATATAAAATTAGAATTTAAGTTTAATGTCAGGTTGCAAAAACATGAAGATTGCACAGTTTTTACTTTTAATCTTCTTTAGAAATACAATTTTCCCTTGAATTATTCAAGCCTATTTATATGTGGATTTGTTTTATCTGTTAAGCAGTGTCTGCCAGTTTATTTGAAAGCACATATTAATTGTCTGCCAAAGGGCAAGGATGCCTAGAGGGGGGATTTTCTAAGGATCTCTTAGATATTTGGTGGACTACTTAGTAGTATGTGCCGGAAATGAAAAATGCATCCAGGCAAAAGCCCGTAGTCATTACCTTTGGAGAACAAAAATGGATGTTTCTCAGCTTATTGCCCAAGTTATTAGCAGCAAATGTACTTCTGTCTCTTGAATAATAAATAAGTACGAAATAATTATTGGTGTTCCAAATTATGAATAGCATTCATTATAAAATGTGAAAGTCTAAGTTATTTTTCGTTATTAACTAATGGATAATATTCTATTATGTGCATATCGGAATACTTTTTGAAGACCTTATAATCACTGTACAAGATTTATCCTACAATTTTTTTTATTCGTCAAATGAGCTATGGGAAATGAAAATTGGATTTACTATCATAAAACAATTTGTATTTTTATAATGTGATGATTAATGCAATTATTTATTAAAATATTTTATTGTTTAGAAATTTATTAAAGAAAGTGTTGCAAAAGATGATAGTAGTTATTGATTTGCATTTTTTTAATTAATTAATGTTTAATTATTTGAAACAAATCTTGCTTCTTATTTAAATGTTAATTTAATTGTAGAGAAGTAGTGAGTGTTATCTTTAGAAAAAGTAGTTTCAAGTTTTAATTGATACTTCCCAAGTATTCAGATGCTTCATTTTCAATGACAAAGGAAAAATTTTTAGCCACAGGGACAATTTCTTATTCAGAATGGTACAAAATTTTGGAAATTTTCTATGGTAAAAAACTTGTAGGCTTTTTCATATTTATGTTTTCTATACATTTTAAATATTTAATTTTCCAAGTCATATATAGAAAACATGACAAGTGTGTATTGCCTTAATTCTTAGTTCATTATGTTGTGAAATAGGTTTTGAACAAAAAGTGTAACTGAAAAAAAAAAGAAAAAAAGCGAATGTGGCTTTAAAATACAAAATTTAAAAAGAAAAAGAAAAAAAAAAGAACTATTGCATTTAGTTTCACATTTAAAGAATTAACTCTCTTAACATTCTGTAAGAAGAAAAGATTATGCGCTAGATGGCTAGATTGTATGGAAAAAAACAAATTCAAGATCTTCAAAATCAGTAATGAAAATCACTAATCAGGGGCAGAAAATCAAGAAACACCGAGATAGACCAAACCTGTAATAGGGTTTAGTGTAGAAGAAAAAAGACCATTTAATTACTATAAGAATACTTTTCCTTATTTAAAATGAAACTGTTGAATGACAAATCAAATTCATATTAATTCATTTTTTCATGCATGATGAAAAAATAGGGACTTTCTGTTAAAAAAAAATTAATTACTGTTTTTGGAGTTGAATAAAGATTTTATTACGAATTTTTAAAAGAATAATTGATGCATATCCAAGTAGTTTAAAATAATTAATATTAAAATTTTCAGTTTAATTCTAAGGATCAAAATGGCATTGGTTTTTATATTTCAAATTATTGAAACCTGGGGGGTAAATAAAATATTTCTCTAAACAAGTTGAATATTTATTGCATGTCAAAGCTGCAATATTTCTTTTTGCACTTTTTTAAATTGTAAATCCCGTTAATATATATGTTATTGGATATTATAAACACAATTTGAATTCATTTTAGACTAGTATAAATCTAAATACAGCTGAAAATTAAATTATGTAAATGAAATTATAAAAGAGGGAAAGATGTAAAATACTAGAAGTCAAATTCAGTAACTTTTTTAGTCTATTTTAATTTCAGTACAGTACTTTAATTTGGTAAGTCTTTAATTTGGACGTCCATAATCTGGAATGATCTATAATCTGGACCTCAAAGCTGCAAACTTTCTGTGCATGCGTAAACGTATAATATATTTACGCATGCGCATAATACGTTTACGCATGCGCATTTAATGTATAACGGACGGTATACGCTAGGATAAAATTATCTAATTATCTATTTCAGTTAATGTTGCAGATTGCATTGTTCCTTAATCTTCTAATTGGATCTGGCGTATTATATTTTGCAGACTGTTAGAGCAATTTTATAAAAAGTAAGCCTGAACTTTCGATTATGTCAAAAAGAGTTTCCGATTCTGGAGCTGCCAAAGGATCTACAAAGCGAAAGCATGTTTCGATGTACCACTTCGATAGTGAGAAGTACAGAGGGTTATTGAAAACGAAAAAATTTCGATTGATAAGTTAGTCGGTATTCTCACACAGCAATTACAGGACTTGAACAGTAGAACTGAACAAGAAATTATGTCTGTTTTATAGAATTAAAGAGAAAGTATTAGCACAAAAAATGAGCAACTTAAACAACTTACATTGAAGAATGTTTATAAAGTAAACAATAATATAAGCTCTTTTTTTTTTTTTTTTTTTTTTTTTTTTTTTTGTAAATTTTGATGCCCTTTAGATCATATTGCTCTTTATTTCATAAATTATGATTTCATATTTTAAATTTTATAATTTCTGCATGCCATCTTATCATCTTTTAGGATATTTTTAGGTCCAGATTTAAATTGATGATCTATAATCCGGAAAACCCCTAATCCAGAATCCCTAATCCAAAAGTCCCGACGAGTCCGGATTAAAGACTTTGTACTGTACTTATTTAATTTTTTTAAATTTAAATCTAGATTAGATTGAAAATTAATTGAGATTGTGGTGAACTAAACTGAAAACTAAACACCAATTAGTTGTAGGTATAAGAAATTTCTATTTCATTTGAATTATTTTAAGACTACATAGTTTTGCTTTTTTAGAGAGCGAAAATGTGTAGATCTTCTTCTGCTTCTAACAGCAAATTGATAATGCTCATGAATAAAAGTTGACTTAAAAGCAGTAGTTTATACATGCCTAAGCTTATCCATGTTTTGATGCATGGAATAGTATCTGCGTACATTTTAAAAATTCATAATTTTAATCATTTTTTTCATTTTCTGTTTTCAGATGTTTTGTTTTAGGTAATGGCAGCTCATGAAATCAGGAAAAATCAATATCAGGGTTTTGCAAGCTTAGATTACCACCTGTTTTTAATGTTATAGATTTGTTCAAATTATTTTCCACTAAGTGATCTGATGTCATAATGCATAGTTAATGAAATCAAAATATTTTATAACAAAAGTTTATGAATATTTAATATAAAAATTCAATGATTTTACTTTGATTTACAGGCTTTAAATCTTCTGATACTTCTTCAAAATGCATCAATGAAAGCAATGCGTCGGGAGAGATGATATATCGGTGTACATATTGTCCTCATTTTTCAAACCGAAAAGGAAACTTGAAATATCATATGCGTATTCATACTGGCGAACGTCCATTTTCTTGCAGAATTTGTTCCAAAGGATTTCGTAGAAACTGTGATCTTCGAAGACATGTGATAACCACTCACTCTGAATACAGTTTACAGTTTTGAAAACAAATGCATGTAATGTTCTTAAAAGCATGTGCAAATATTAGCAACTTTCATGAGAAATCTGATTTTCAGTGTAAAGATATTTTTAGGTCTTTTTTTTTTTTTTTTTTTTTTTTGTATGTGTTGTTATTACCATGTTTTTCTTAAAAGGAAATAGAATAATGTAAAAAACTGCAGTTGCCAGATCTCACTAGTAGATCAGGGAATCTCACTGTTTCAGATCTGATGTTCAGTGTACATATATTTTTAGGTTGTATGTGTTTTATTATTACCAGGTTTTTCTTAAATAGGATAATGTAAAAACCATAGTTACCAGATCTCACTAGTAGATTAGGGGATCTCCCAGTTTGAAACTTTTAACCTTTACTAAATTACTAAAGATTTTTTGTTTGAATTATCTTAATATAGTACTGTAGACCTTTTTATGAAAATTCAAGCAATATTTAATTAGTTAATATTTGTTTATATAATGTATATTTTCTTAACATCAGTCTATAATAGTACTAAGTTTATCCACATAATACATGGTTTACATTCCTTAAAAGTCCTTAATTTCAGCTAGAATTGACAGATGATCCTTCATTTTAATCATCTGTAAATTGTGCCTGTTTTTACAACTGCTATTCTGAGGGTGAATTAGCATTTTGGAGGAATATTTTTTGGCAATTCACTGATAACTATGTATTTCATGTGTTATCATTTGAATGTGTACTATTTCTAATATAAATGGTGCAATATTCCATTTTCTGGACAATAAGTGAAACACAAGCATTTCAAAATTATTTCATTTTTGCTACGAGTTCATAAACAGCTCTTCCCACTTGGGTATATGAATTTTTTTTATTAAATTGCTCTAAATTTGTCAACTTATCAACATTTTGGTGATTTTAAGATAAATTTCTATGCAAAATTTTAAATTTGGAGATTTGAGAAATATTCAACAATTTATTAAAACATTATAATATTGATTAACTTAAATAATGATAATTATTAAAATTATATTTAAGAACTAGCATTAAAATAAAACATTTTTAGTTTCTCATGTCATATTATAAAGTGGATAACTTCCCATTTTGGCGACTTATAATTAAAATATTTTGAATCTGAAAAATAAAAAGATAATAAATCCTATAGAGCATAATTTTCAAAACACTCCCCTTAGCAAAAGGATCATAGCTGTTGTAATTATTTTAAAATGTCTTCTTTTATAATTTTTCATGGTAAGAGTTTTTTGCCATGTAATTATCTCAGAATTTTCTGAATGTATACATACTGAATATATATCAGAATTTCAGAATGTAAATTCTGTCTCATATTATGGGATAGCACAGCAAATAACCATAGATAAATTCTGCTAAAATAATAAAATAAAGCTTAAAATGACACTTTGAACTATAAATTAAAGTAATTTTAATGCTTACCTGATGCACAGCCTTTTTCTAATATGATGACACCAAATTGGGAACAACTCCAAATTATAAGTATTGATAATATAGACAGGTTTAAAAAAAAAAAAAAAAAAAAAAAGGATTTTGAATGTTTATATATTCTGTTCACTATGTATGCATATTTCAAGATAATTTTTCATTAAGATGTAATGCTTTTTTCTCCTCCCATTTTTAAAGATTTCATTTCAGATGATGGCAATTCAAAAATTCAGAACAAATCTGTGTCAAAATTATAGCTGTTTACCTGTATTTAGTGTTATATGTTCAAATTATTTAAATTTTCTGGTATCATTATGCCTGGTTAATGAAATTAGAACATATTTAATGGCAAAAGTTCATAATCCATTAATTTAATATGAAAATTTAATAATTTTGCTTTGGTTCACAGGTTTTAAGTCTTCTGATACTTCTTTGAAATGCATCACTGAAAGCTGTGCTTTGGGAGAGATAGTATATAGATGTACATATTGTCCTCACTTTTCCACCCAGAAAGGAAACTTGAAATATCATATGCGTATTCATACTGGTGAACGTCCGTTTTCTTGCAGAATTTGTTCTAAAACATTTCGTAGAAATTGTGATCTTCAAAGACATTTGATAACTCATGCCCAGAATAGAAATTTGGAGTTTTAAAAAACAAATGCATGTACAAATATCAGTAGCTTTTGTGCTAAATATGATTTCCAGTACAAAGACTTCTTAAAATCCTTTACTGTATGTATTATATAATTCATTGCATTTTATCTGTTATGTTAGTAACATGTTTTTATTAAGAGGAAGTAAAGTACATTAAAGCATTTTAATAAGAAATTTTAGCAAAAGTATTGAAACTTTCTCTGTGAAGTTTTTGATTTTATAAATATATAAGATTCAGAATCAAATTTTTAATACATTCTGAGCAAAAGAGATATGTTATATTTTTCAAAGGTTTATTTTAAAAACAGAGCATTTGAGGTAAATAAAAGTATCTGTCTCTATATATGATGTAATCAACAAAACAAGCTGCTAATAAATGTTGTATGAGAATCCAATATTGTTGACATGAAATAAATGTGAATGAAGCATATACGTTGGTGGAAAGATTTAACTTTCCACCAACATATATAACACCAACAACACAAAAGCATAATTAGTCATCCGAATTACAGATTAGATTTCTGAATAATAACCACAGGTGCATAACAAATGATAAATAACCACAAATAAATTTGTAATACTTTTAAAAGAAAGATGAATGAATTTTTATAATGGCCCATTGCACACTCTTTCTTCAGCATGATAAAGCCAAATTGGCAACCAAGTACTGATTACAAAGAAAAATTTAAATATAAAAATATCAGTTTGCTGTGTGTATGTATAATTGTCCTACTTTTGATCAAAAATTTATCCTACTTTCCATTTTTGATTATGTATGTATTGATTATATATATATATAATCGAGAGTTTGGAAATTAAAAAATTAAGATTGTGGATTATTAAAATTCTACAGCATACTGCAAAATTAAATCAATAACTACCTTTATTGATTTAATTACTTTAATTATCACTTGATATTATGTATGTATATAAAGAGAGAAAGGGAGAACCTCTTGACTATGTACAGTGCAAAGTCCTAGATCCGGAACTGTCAGCGGCGATTTCGGATATTTTTGGATTTTAGATCATCATTTTAAATCTAGTAAGATGGCAACATTGGAGCTTCATTTCTTGGTTAGGTCAGATGGAAAAATGCTAACCTTCCCATAACTACTCAATAGCCGAAAATGTGACCCTGGCCAACATTAATACAATGTCAATGGCCACAGTGTTACTTCCTCAGCCAGCGAGTGTTTGAATGTGACACGTGGAAATGTCAGTTAGAAAAATCATATTAACGGCACACATCCTGCCTTTTGTTGAAGAAGTAGGTGTTTTAATCAATATACTTCATTCCTAGATATTTTTATATTTTATTTTTTCAACTGATGGTCCAGTTTTTAGACTTTGTACTGTATATGTATTTTAACATAATTTTTCATTGGGTAAAGGATGTAATGTAAAAAAAGAAATCATTTTTTGTATTAACTGCTGAATGCTTTAGGGTTCGATAGCTTTTAACTGTTGTTAAATTTGATAATGATTTAAAGAGTTATTAATAGAATGAAATAAATGCAGAAATTTTTTTAATAATTATGTAATTTAATATCAAATTTAATATATGTAATTTGATATGATAGTTTCATTCGAAGATGAATATATTACATAATAATGGTTATGAAACTTAACTGATGAATTTATTATTGGTCATGCTTCCAACAAATACAATAAAATCTATTTAGCTGTATTGCATATTATTCTGGAAAGTCAATGTGGAATAATTGAATTGTAATGGATGTGATGTTGAAGCAGAATTTTTAGTAAAAAATAAAGGTTTTTATTTTCAGATTATATATAATTTAAATTTACTGGGCAGATGTTAATGTAAAACAAATATGTCATATTTTTAGTAGCATTAAATTATTTTCTCATATTGGTTGAAAGAAAAGGAGCTTTATTAAAAGTTCAGCAACTTTAATTGCATATATTTTATTCATTAATTTTTTTTTTTATAAATTATTATTATTTTCAATTATTGTGTATGGCTTTGTGTAAATTAAATATCAGAAAAGGAAAGGCCTGACTTTAGTGAAAATTTAAGAGGCAATAACACAAAACTATAAAGAAGCTTTTTTTTTTTTTTTTTTTTTTTTTTTTTTTTTTTTTTCTGTATGTATGTATGTATGTATATATTGGAGACAGAGCATTCTGTGTGCAGTGGACAAAAAGTTAGTAAAAGCATATATTTGCCATCTTATTCATGTGTGTTTATGGTTATGTTTATAACTTTTTGCTTTATTCTTCTAAGTTTTGTAAAAGTATGAAAATGTGATTGGAAAAAATTAGTTGAATACATTTATCTCTGTCAACTATAATTATATTCTGAAGCATAAAAAGTGGATTTTTATAACAGAATTATGTGATCAAAGTAGAATTAGTGTTTGTTATATTAGTAACACAATGCAATTTAATAAAAAAAATTTTTGGTGGTTGTGGTCATATCTTTTATGCTGATTATTTTGTTCATGAACTAATGTTATAAAAATATAATTTTTAAATCTTATTTATAATTTTTCATTATATGTAATATTTTATCATGTGTTTTGATATAGAAATATTATACAATTATAACTTGTATCAAAATTAAATATAAAATATTTTATAATACACAATAAACAAGAACATTATGAGAAAGAAAATACTTATCTGCCTTTAAATAGGAGGTAAATATTAAAAGACATCTGATGTTCAGTTTCCCTTGAAGTTTACTCCACTTTTAACTTGAATCTCTACTGATTACAAGTTAGTAAGTTTTAATGTTATAAAAACAAGTGTTGTGAGTTTTTACTGCTGTCAGAATAAGACAGATTCAGTTCAAAATGAAAGTTGGTTAAATTGTACTTTGGTTCAGTGACAACAGGATAGTAATAGCTGTGCTAGTTGATCAACAGGATAGCATTCATTGTTCAAATTGAGTTAGCTTATTAATATATACTATAAACAATACTATCAATTCTTAAACCAATTAAACTCAAATTTCTGATTAAATCATGTTTTCTATAGTTAGCAGGAGGAATTCAGTCTTATGAATGGATCTGATTCAGTTAATTTTTTTATAATTTACCTTATCAGAATGAGTTCCACATACAATTCACTCAATGTAATATGTAAAAAAATTCATATAGTGTTTTAAAAAAAATGTATGAAAATATCATTTTAATGTAAAAGTATACAGTAAACATAAATTAATACAGGAGTAACTTGCATTTTAAAACTAATTCTTTTGTGGTGTGTCTAAGTATTTATCAATTAATACTTACTATTCATAAATTATTTTTTCTAGCTACAATTTTTAATTCATAAAATGAAATTTTGTAAAGCTAGAGATAAGCATTTGTTTGAGTACTTACTTATCATTTTGCCTCAGAGGTGGTATTGCCATAGTGATGGTTAATTGATAGCTTTGAACTGAATGGTAAACTTTTGAATAATATATTTTCTTCTATAACTTCATTTTTGCTTTCAAAATTTGAATCCATAATTCGAGTTTACTAAAGTGAGATACTATAATTTTATGAAAAAAGGTTCTGACATGCTTATAAATGTTGTAATATTGGAAAAAAATAATGATAGATGATAAATTTTTATGTGTTTAAAACCTCTTTTATTATTTCAAAAGTGTAGAAATTACAATGAGAAATTTCGTATTGTATTGTAAATTTCATATCGTATCTGATTAGAAATGTCATATTAATATTTCCTTGTATGAAAAATGCAGAATGTAAATTGAAATTGTGCATATATTGTTATAAACTATTTGTTTAAAAAAATTTTATGTCATGACATCAGTTGTAAATAAAAAATATTTTGTTTTTCTTTTTAGGTTTGTTCAGAAATGAAACAAATGATTCTTTTTCTGGAATACATCATGTTTCTGCATTTCCTTATCAGAATTCAGTCAACAGTTTACAAATGGAATATGACCATAATTTTACATGTAATGTCTGTGGTAAAATATTTGTCTGTCGTTCTCATTTGCAGGGACACATGATTAATCATACTGAGGAGCGTCCTTACTCATGTGAGGTTTGTGATAAGAAATACAAACGCCAGTCTCATCTGCGGAGACACATGCTTGTACATAAACGTCTTTGTAATATGTGTAATCACTTTTTTATGTGGCCTGATGAATTCAAAGAACATAAAGCAAAGTGTAGCGAAGAAATTTTCTCAAATATTTGAAATTCTAATGGTTTTTAATATTATATGTATTGTTTCCAGTTTGCAAAATTTTTATTTTTATAACTACTTAAAAGTTTATAATTGTTTTAAATTATTCAGAGTATGTATAAATTCTTTTAAAAAGTACTGTATTAAATAAATTTTGGATTTAAAAATATTATATGTTTATTATATGTTTATCATATGTTTATTATGGCTTCTTTCCCGCTGTATACTTAATTTTAATTTTTAATCTGAGTCGTACATAATTTTAACTCTAATACACATTCTGTGCATAGAATTGTCTAAAATGAAGGTGAAATGTAGAGTAGTGATGCTATTTGAATAACTTAGAGCATGCCTTTCTTAGTTATCAGAGGCTTAGTAAATAAAAATCTTAAGTTTTAAATTATATAGTAAATTATCTAATTATAATGTTATTGTTAAATAATACAAGTAAAATTTATTTTCATTCATAATCTTTTCTGTGTACATTAGTTCTGTAATTAAAAGCAGCATATTTTTTTAAAAGATCATTATTGTAAAATACACTACTTAGTTTCAGTATAATCAACCTAAAGAAAATAAGACCTTATAATAATAAATAGTTATAATTTCAGTCTAATTTAATATTTAAGAATGACCTAATTTTTAGTAGATATGTTATTCAACACTCTTTTTGAATCATTATCAGAATTCAGGTCAGTTGATATTTGCATCTTAATGATAGAATCTACTATACATTTGGAATCTGGTTGTTTTGAGCTATGTTTATAATTTTTATTTTATAAGTACTATTGTGAGCAAAACGTATTGAGAAAAATTTCAATTCTTTGGTCAGTATTAATTACATCCCTTCTCTAGTCTTCTTCTTTAACAATGTACTTGTGCCAGTAATTTTTTTCCATTGCTCGAACCATGTTTTGAAGTCATTTTTATAAAACCCTTCAGGATTCATAGCAAAAATCTTTTATTACATTAATAGACTGAGAATGATTACCACAAAGTAGCAGTTTTAATTGTAAAAATAAGAAAACGTCACATGCTGTGATATCAGGTGAATAGAGAGCTTTCAGAGCTTTATTTGTTAAATTTTATCTAAAAATTCATGGATAATAAAAGTGTTATATGAGTGGGTACATTATCGTGATGCAAAATCCATGAGTCATCATTTCACAATTCACATCATTTTCTACAAATTGCTTCACACAAATGTCTCAAAATAAATAGTATT